AATCCGGGCCGGCGGCACGAAAACGATTAAGGGCTGTGATTGCGTTTCGGACTTCGGCCTCCGACGGAGGCTCTAAACTAACCGTCCATGGCTCGTCCTGCATCACCTGAGTAGGAAGAGGTCCGGGAGCAGGGGGCCAGCTGAACTGATGTTCAAAGTGCTCAGCCCAACGAGCCATACGGCGCTGCTTATTGTGTATCAGCGCACCCGCGCTGTCCCTGATTGTCTCACTGACGCCTGGTTTTCTCGGACCAGTGGTGCGTATTAGCTGGAAGAGCTTCCGGTAATTGCCTACTGCTCCTGCCTCCTCCATTTCTTGAGCCCGACTGGTCCACCAGGCTTCCTTGTCAGCACGTAGGCTCCGCTTTAGTTCACGCCTAATAGCCCGTCTGGTCACATTGTGTTCAGAACCAGCCGGGAGGTGCCTTCTAGCTTCCAAAAGGTTCACGGACCTCTCGGATATCCAGTGACTGGTGCGATGACGACTGATAGTGCCACAAGCAGATGCTCCTGCGTCGTGCATAGTGGCCGAGATCTTATTCCACTGAAGTTCAGTATCATTAGGACAAGACAGCGAGAGTTCGCTATGCAGTGCTTCTTGATAGGCTTGCCTGACAGAGGGCTGGGACAATTTCTCCGTTGCCAATCGGGGGAGAGGCTTTGTGCGCCTTCCGGTAAAGTTCATGGAGAAACGACAGCGCACCAAGGCATGATCAGAGTCGACACAGGTACTCCAGTACGAGCGGCAATCCAGAATGGAACCGCGCCACCTGTAACTTATGGCTATGTGGTCAATTTGGGTCCATCGCTGACCAGCTACAGGTGGACGCCAAGTGGCACTTTGGTGCCCACTGTGTCTAAAAGCAGTGCTAGTAAGAAACAACTGGTGCTCCGCACACAGTTGCAGCAGACGCTCGCCGTTGTCAGTCCGTTCGGCGTTAAGTCCATACTTACCACCCAGCTGAGCTTCTGAAGAGCTCAGACGCCCTACTTGTGCGTTCATATCCCCTGCAAGTACTATAATATCTGAACAAGTAGCACTGCGTAGCAGCGTGTTCAGTTCGTGATAGAAAGTGTCCTTGACTGCATTAGAACTGCAGTCGGTGGGAGCATAAGCAGAAATCACAAACAAACAGCGTTTTGTTTTACTTCGCGAATTCACCTTAGCTGATGTCGTCAAACGGGCTGCACATAAACGACTGTTCACCGGAATCCAATCAACCAACGATAACTCAGCCTTGGAGCTGAGAATGATACCTACACCAGCTTGACCGGTGAGTGCCGCATCGGCGTCTCCGGATGCGTGCAACCAATAACGAGAGGATAAGCCGGGTGCAGTCAATTCAATAACCCCGTTAGGGTCATTAATCCTAGTTTCGGACACACAACACACATCAACACCCAGTGTGTCCAAGGTGCGTGCGAGTGCAGCCTGCTGACCTGTTTGTCTTAGAGTGCGGACGTTGAAGGTCGCCATGGGAACGGGACAGCGTGGTCTTATAAGGGATTTTTGCCGATAGGCGTCCAATAGGTGCTGTGGGATGGTGGCTGCAGATGGTACTACTCCAGTAGCACTTCGGTTGCTGTCAATTAAGCTGGGAGTTATAGAAGGAAGGTTAGTAATGGGGGCCGGGATGGGAGTAAGAGAAAAAGGTGGAAAAGAAAGAAGGGAGGCGCCAGCAGTAGCATGCTTTCGCTTATCCGCCCTGCTGTATGCAGCAGATAAGGCGACCCTTGATAATCTGCGCGACGGCCGATGCAGGATGAATTTTATGTTTGAAGAAAATGTCATGGTTGTATGTGGGCTGGGATACTGCCAGGGCGCCCAGACCTAGACAGGAGAACGATTAGGGTCCTCATCCAAAGCCTTTGGCTCAAAAGCCTGTCCGCAAGGCAGCGGGGTGGCAGTGATTTAGTTTTACAGAAATGGACGCCATCCCATTTCAAACCCCCAACCTGGAGGACCAGGAGACTGAGTTTGTCTGACTTCTCACCATTGACCAACCTGGTAGGAGTAGCTCTCAAGATGCTCGGAGGCATCACCCAGTATAGCTCAATGGGTCAATGAGGTACGCAAACCGTCGCACCACGTTAAGGTCCAGTCTCGTTGCGACAGCGTCTTCCTGTATGGGGGCCTCGGGACCGTTCACACCAATAGTTGGACACCCTGTCAGACATGGCGCAGTCACGAGGTCAGTGGCGTTCTTGCATTCAATTTTTCCCATCTGGTTGTTAATTTTCGTTCCGTTCTGATTAGTCTGACTCATTTCCTTCTTGCTTTCATTTTCTCCACCTTTTTCTTTCCACGCAATCCCACTGTCCTACCGGTGTTATTTATGGTTATTCTTACGACGTAAGTTTTGGCAACTGGATTCACCGCACTTCGATGCTCGGATCATAGTTGATCAGCTGAACTGAACTGAACTGTAACAACATTGGCTCTACTTATATGACGAGTTCTATGACGAGCAATACTGATTCGTGTTATCCTCTTGACGGCCTTAAGGTTGACAGACCCTGAATCGAGTAATGTCTGATGAGCGTTCGCCACGGTACTCAAGGGTATAAGTGACTAAGGCATAACAGGAAACTGTGAGCAGAATATTTACCTTCACTACGTATGTGTCAGTTGTTAACAATGACCAAACGACGGTCGTCTGCATCTTGCCAGTAACAATGTGTAGAACTTAAATCACGATTATTCGACTCTGTATTGACTTCCATTTCGAAGGTAATTTTTCGAGTCCTTTCATCGTCAGGTTGCGACAAGAAGTCATCAGCAATTTACTGATGAAATGATGGAAATGCCCCCGCTTTGTCTTTCTCGTCCAAATTATACGATACTAGTGAACCGTACTATGCTTCTTTATGACATGTTCTTTGTTGCGTAAAGATTTATAGCGCTGGTTGTTAGACTGGACCAGGGGTCACCAAACTACGGCCCACGCCACTACTTCATCTGGTCCGCTGACTTTGCCCGAATTTGCTTGAAAAAGGGTATAGGACACGACACTGCGTATCGTATTGCCGGTGTCTTTACACTCTGAACGCTATTGCGATTTACCCCATGGTTATTACATGTGACACCGTACTATCGTACTATCATTGGCCTCACATCATCGGAACCCTGGTGCTGGTGGTAACCCAAGAAGCTCGTTTATTCGTACACTCGTACTGTGTTTCCGTTTACATCGCACCACTGTACTGCAATTTTCCGTTGGTCAACTCTCTTAATGCACGTGTTATACAAAACACAGCCTAAAAAGACGCCGTTATTCCGTGTATGGTTATTTTTTGGAGCCGTATTTGCTGAATGTTTGGAACGAAATGCAAATTGTTGACACACAATTGTGTGTCAAGCGGAAATTGTTGTGGTTCGTACATTTTGGCATCACTAATTGCATGTAAATAGTGCTGTTATCCAGTTCCAGCCTTGTTTCCTGATTTGACTCCGATAGAAACACTGCCAATGCCTTCCAAGTGCTTTTCCGGCTGCACGCACACGTATATATATATATATATATATATATTGCAAACTTTATGTGACGTATTCCGTTACTGATAAGACATATAACTTATACGTATTTTTACGGAGCAGTTCCACCGACGACCTCGTTTCCTCTGTTCGTCTGGCGTTTCTACAGCACTTTTATTCCCCTTTTGGAGTTCAGTACTTCTTTATTGTTCTTATCCCACTTATTTCACACTTGATCATGTTTACTAAAAAAGGAAAGTGGACGCCCTGCTGCCCTTTCCTTGTATCTTCTCATATTTTTTGTTGTGGCTTGTGTTGTTCATAATGAAGTGGATGTAAATATTGGGTTTTCCCGCATGAAAACACTGTTGAATGTTTATGCGGGCAGCGTTAGTCAATTTGTCATTTATCCGGCCTGCTGTGAGAAAGTTTGTTGGCCCCTGGACTAGACGAAAAGATTGAGCGTGAAGCCGCACACTTGTCAGTCGACGGGCATCAGGTTCGATCCGAGTTAATACCTTCCGGAACGGGATGGAGTCAGCTGACTCCTCAAGGACCTCGTCTGATAACAGTGTTGGGACGGTGTTAGAACTCGGGTTCGTCAGCATCGCGTTGTCAATGGAACCCTATGCTCTTTAGCTCGCCTCATGGAGGAATCGAGCAAAGAAAATTTTGTCCCATGTCAGATGGAGATGTTTCTGCGTCTTATATATGATCCGTTAGCAATACCTACCCTATGTTGTTGTGAACCAGGTATCCATACTCCCCGTTATTCAGACATCTGTAAACCGCTTGTAAAACCAAATGGGGTCCCGTGACATAAGCTTTTAATTCATCTCATCTGACGTTTTGTTGAGTCATTTTTGAAGTATCTGTTATGGGGGCTCTACGACAATGATGACAAGAAGTAGGGGATTGTAGATTACACCGAGTGCTGCGTTAAAACATGGTACCACATCGACAGTCCATTGAGTTGGGATTTTGCTTAGCATAATGGAACAATGTAGTTCATTAGCCGGAGCCTGGTCCAAAATCTGCCTGCTTTTCTCTCTCTCTCTCATCCTAGTATCCTGCACAGCTATGGAAGCTTAGGGTTATACTAGTCCATTATAACCAAATGTAAGCAAATTCACTGGTGGTAAACGCAGATATTACATTTGCCCTTAGTAAGTACTGTTACTGCAATAAGCCCAATTCATTTGGATTGAACATCACCCCAGTCGAGGGTGCGCACAGGATAAGTTGGTTTTTCTCGCTTGATCCCACTATGGAGCGGTCTAATGTAAATCATTGAGTTCCCCTAGCGTGGTTGGGGCACTTCATCGCACCACTATAGTCTTAGTCTGTTGTCCCCAACGCAACAGTCTTGATAACCTACTGGTTTGTAATCAAGGTACTCTCAAAATGGACTCTTTTAGAGTGAGCTCAACTCCTTTATTGTCTGTTGACGATATCGCTTTCTTTCAACTAATTTCGGTGACATAAGTTGACTTATCCTACTCACCACTTACCTGGTTATTTTCAGATTCGCAAAAGGTTTCTTGCATCTATCTGTCAGCTGATACAGGAGGCATCTCGTCACATCGACCTGGTGGTACAAAAGCATCTGGAAAAATTCTGCTCCGGTCCGAGCGCACCACCAAAGCCGCACTCACCGACCGACGGAAGCCCAAGTCGCGTGGTCGACTTAGAGAATCCCCAGGTGCTTGAGGTCGGTCAACCAGATAGGCCTTCCCCCAGTCCCCGATGCAAGATGCTTTTGTTTTCTCCACAACAGAACTCCGTATTACCTCATTCCCTGGAGCTCACTCCCACTGGAGACGAGCGTTCCAATCAGCCAGTCAATCATGCTCAACCCCAAAAGCGCGTACTTGTAACAAACACATGTTCCGTTGTATCGAAGCGTATCGAATCTTCAATGGGCACTCGGGATAGGTGTGTGGCCCTGATGGACACTAACTGCAACAACAACATCAGAGTGAGTTTGGTTGCACGTCCCAGTATGTTGGGTACCATCCTACTCAGGTGGGTTTGCTGACCGTAGTCTTGGGCTCGAATTTAGCCTTGCTAAGTCAGGGTATGCTTAAAGAATTAGTCAATCTCGGATCGTAAGAATGGTCAGCACTTGAAAAAGTGATAGAAAACGCAATAACATAACTGATACCTCGATTGCACCCTGTCAAATAGGGTTACTGTTCATGCATAAGTACGGTCAAGCAGCTCCTGTTTGCTCTCTCTATCTATTTCCGCAGGCTTTTTCGTCGAGCTGTCGTCTGGCAATGTTGTCTGTCCGACCGGCGGTGTAGTTAGTCGATAGGCATGAGAAGAACGAGGTGTAACTAACCTAGAATTTGACACGATTAGTTCCGTCACCGAACACCAGCTAATAGACCTTACCGCCACTCATGGAACAATTCCACTAGTTACTAGTGAATCTTTACATCCCTTTGCGGTTGAAGATAAATGTTCACTTTAGTTCCCCAACACTCAGTGACCAAGCTTGGGACATATGCAGCAAAGTTAAATGAACTTCAGATGAGCACACACATGAGTACCACATATGCCTGGTCACCGCTTTCTGAAGAAGGCCATATTTTGTATGCCAGATATGGGGTGGCAAAGAGTTATGTCTGTTTAGCCGTATTCCTTAACAGACATATTTTATTTGATAATGTCATTTCAAGTGATTAGCTGTTGTTTGACATCCCCGATGTGGCTGCGCTTGATGTGCATGTTGACAAGGTGCCTACCTGTCAATTACCCACTACCTCGTCCAAACTGGCTCTAGGAGACAGTTGGTCGTTACTGGAGGGGACGAGGTGCACGGTCCTTGTGACCGTATTAGGCTCGAAGAGTGGCTTCATGCACTCAGGGTGGAGCGGACTACGGTCCAGCTGCCGCCTTGTGTGCGTTTGATTCCCAAATACAGCGTGCTTGTGTGTTGCCTGTGAAGGAGTGTGAACCGGCTCCGTTGATGAAACGTCGCTCCCATCCACATGCCTCCCGGTCATATTTCTTCGGGTTTACACTGGATATGGGGTGTGTAGTTGGAGCTGTGGGTGGTGCAGCGCAAGCCACCCATGGTCCCTCTATAGGCGCAGGCGTCCTGTGGCTGGCCACAGTGACAGGCAAATCCGAAACCGGATACCGCCAACCATGTAATCTCAACTGTCTAGCAAGTAGACATAGAGCCAATAAAAACCATGGTGTTCAGCGGATAAGAGGAAGTCATCGCGTCATAATCATCGTGACGTAGTAGTTGAAGGTGAGCAACACACTTCAGCTACTGTGCCGCAGGAGAAAGGCACACTTTGGTAAAAAGCAGAACAAAACATTTTTAGTCTGTTTTTCACACGCCGATTTTACTCTTTTTTTTCTTTTCATGTGAATCAGTACAATACTGTACACAATTCTTCTACTTATTCCGGTTGCGGGCCATGTCTTCAAGAGTGTTAAGCCATTGACACTCCTCATCTTTGGGTCCCCATCCTGGAAGAGGTATGGATCCAACAGCGATTAGACACGACATCAGCGATTTCATGTGCTGTCGCCAAGTGGAAGGCTGACCACCACGCGTTCGCCTCCAGCCAGGTCCTTGACGAGCGAATAGAGCACGACGCGGCAGACGCTCAGATGCCATGCGTAGGACGTAACCGAGCCATCTCAACTGGCGCAGCGAAACCAGTTTGTTGAAGGGAATACTCGCATTCCCCAAGGTGCGACGTCGAACGTCAGTACTTTTTACTCGAGGTTGCCACCAAACACGAACAATGTTCCTTAAGCAACTGTTACCGAAGGCAGAAAGACGACGCATGTCTTCCACGCGAATCTGCCAGGACTCGCTCTCATACAACAATACTGAGCGAACTGATGCGCTGTAAACGCGACCCTTCAGCGAGAAGGAGACTTGGCGACGACGCCACAAGTGTCTCAGATTGGCAAATACTGATCGGGGTTTAGCGATACGAAGAGAAACTTCTTTGCTGATAATGCCGTCAGCAGGAACACAGATCCCAAGGTAGACGAAACTATCTACCTGTTCAAGTTGTGCACCTTCTAGAGTGAGCACGGGAGCAGGGGAATGCCAATCCTTGAGCAGTATTTTACACTTCGATGGGGCAAAGCCCATGACATACTTAGATTCTTCAACCGCGAAACGATCTAGAATGAGTTGCATACCCTGAGGATCGTCACCAAGTAAGGCGATATCATTAGCACAATCTAACTTGGTCGCGCGTTCACCCGGTAGAAGCTCCAAGCCAAAATGTTGGAAACCTTCTAGAGCACTCGACAGAACGTCTTCGATTGCGAAATTTAAGAGCAATGGAGACATAGGGCAGCCCTGTCGCACACCGCTATTGACAGCAAATTGCGCGGAAGGCTTTCCATAGACCCTCACTCTGCCGCAGATATGAAGGTAAAGTGCTCGCAAGATGGCGGTATATTTCTCTGGCACCCCATTTTTTAGCAAGCAACGCCATAATGCAGGTCGATCAACGGAGTCGAAAGCGGCACGTATGTTTAAGATGGAACGATAGTGGGCCTGTGATAAATTTGATGATGTTCGAGGAGCTGGCGGAGCATAAAGATTTGATCCACTCACTGCGGCCGGGACTGAAACCAGCTTGTTCTTCACGGTAGTATGATTTACGTACTGTGGATAGTCTGCGAAGCAAAATGGCTGCTAATAGCTTGGAAGCAACCGAAATAAGACTGATCCCGCAATGATTTGCACATAAAGTGCGAGCGCGTTTCTTGAAAATCGGGACAATAACTGATTCCCCCCAAGAGGAAGGCACTTTCTCTTCATACCAGGTATTTGCGAACAGTGCGTTTACCTGGTTAATGATCGCCACACCGTGGTACTTGAACAGCTCCGGAGGAAGTCCATCTGAGCCGGCCGTCGAGTCTCGAGGTCGACTTCTGCTTCTCTGGGTGGATTTTTTGGGACGAGCTAAGGTGGAGAACAAGGTGTACTGCCTGTACTAATGGATGGTGGAGGCCAGTTGAACTGCAAGTGAAAGTGCTCGGCCCAGCGGTCTATACGCCTCTTCTGGTTGGTGATCGGAGACTCATCCACCTCGCAAGTGACCTCACTAACCGCAGGCTTCCTGAGGCCAATGGACCGCTTGAGTTAGAAAAGCTTGCGAGTGGTGTCAGAGAGGGCAGCTGTCTCCATCACTAAAGCATGCTCAGACCACCATGTCTCGCGATCCTTGCATAGGCTTTGCTTGAGCAGCCGGTTGGCAGAACCGCGCCGCTCGATGCAATATGAGTCCGCCGGGTTATCTTTCCGGCGGTTGAACATCTCCAGAAAACGAGCAGAAATTCAAGTCTTTAGGCGCGTCGAGCTAGGCCGCAGCTTGACTGTCCGGAAATGATCATCGCTTTCTGTGTTCCATTCCAGTGTTACTCTATGTTTTGCGGTGGATTACAACTGAGTGCGTATGCCAGTGAAGACTGATAGCTCTCCTGGACAGAGGAATCAGTTAATCTGTTTATACCAATCTTGCGGTGCTTTGTTTTTCAGGACCCCACAAAACTCATGCAGGTTTTCTCGCAGACCATTGCATTATCTGAGACAACGAAGGTGGACCAAAAGGACCTGCAGTCCAGTACGCTGCAACGCTATCTGAACCTGATTGCAATGTGATCAATTTGCGACCATGGTTGTGTTGGCGAAGGGGGCGCCACGTTGCGGAACGCTTCTTCATACGCCTGAAGTTAGTGCTCGAGAAAAACGGATGGTTCTCTTCGCGCAGTGTGAGAAACATTTCTCCGTTATCAGAGCGGTTCACATCTAGCGCGAGATTACCACCAAGGTGCTGTTCGTATTCTAACAGGCGGCCAACCTTTGCATGATTTCGTCTCACCTTCCCAGGCTGAAGTTCACGTGTCGCGCCTTGTGCTTGGCTCGGGACATTGCAAGACTTGGCTTGCAGTTGACCCCAGTGGCGAGTCTGCTGTTGTCCCGTGGTCGGACTGCCTGTTTAAAGCGTGTCTACTGCTGAGTTATCTACGGAGCAGTGACTGCTTATGCTTATGTTGTAGAAGGCTTCTTCTGCTTATCTCTGCCCTCTGCCACTCCCAGCCGCGTCAGGGGAAGAACTCACGCCGCTCTGCGCACAAACGTTCTATTCACAAGTAAGGGGAAAGTACAACTAGATGAGCTTTTCAAAACTCACTGCCCTACTCGATCGATCGCCTAATCGATTGCAATGAAAGAGACGCTTCCCATATTTAGCTCCGCCTACGTCTCTATTACCCCCTACAATTTGGTTGCTCCCACCTATTTTACGCACTTGGGCTTGATCGTAGCTTTTTACCCTGGGGTTCTCTTATAACCATCGCGGTTGCCTTCGTTTTCGACTTGGCCTGCATGACAGGTCGTGTGGCGTCCAAGCGACTGGCTCTGTTCTGCTTTGGAGATCGACCTGTAGCCATGGTGATCGCCTCCGCTTTCTGCTCGGCCTGCATTGTGCGTCATCTGCCGCTTGCGTCTTATGTTCTGATCCACGTAACCGCTCAACTTCGGCTTCGAAACAAAACTTGTCTAGCAGCATGTCCCATGGTAGGGATGGCGGTTAAGGGGGACTTTGAGTCTTGCCGTGATTCGGTCTCAGCTGATTGACGTGCCTGACCCATTTCTAATTTCCTACCATTAGCTCGTAGATGACCCAACCGTTTCTGCGGATCACTCTTCCTGTCGACCACCTCCTCGGTCCTCGGAATTCTCGTGCGTAAACCATGCTCCCAATTTTGAATTGACGCATGCTGTCTGTCCACTTTCCCCCGCATGATAACTGCAATACTTTTCTTTCCTGCTTGGCACAAGGCGCTTTGCTCTGGATACTGGTTTAGTGACTGACTTGAGGTTCTGGACAGCACTGGTGATTCTGCAACATTCTGGATCAGATTGGAGTATTGTTTCGTGGCCTCTATTCATCTGCGTAGTCTGACTGCCCTTGATTTCTGCCG